GCCTTCCTCAAACCTGTTTACTTATTTCACAGCAGTTATACCACAAGAGATAGAACAGTGAAGTAAGCAACAAAGTCTATTAAAAGCATTTAATGGCTATCCTTGAGTTTAATAGGAATGGATAGGGCTGCTGTTCAAATGAGGACCTTGATCTTGGTGGAAATGGGAGAAACTCAAAGTGGCCAGTCCCAGGGAATTGATGGCAATTACCTTAGTTATGTTCACTAGCTTTTTGTCTCTTCCAACTGTAAGTTCCCTGAAGGCAAGAATTATGTCTGTCTTATTTGCTATTATATTCTTAGAGCCTGAAATAGAGCTTAGTATATAGTGGGCCCTTGAATGTTTAAGTAAATCATAGTAAGGTCAGACAGAAGTCACTGGAGCAGTCGCTCCCAACAAATAAAATGAATCAAAAGCAAAACTACATCCCTGGAAGAATCAGAAATTAACCACCAAGACTTAACAACCACCACCACTCAGTTTCGCTGTTAAAACCATTAACAGGCCATTTATCAGACTTAAGTGGTCAGTCCACTTACAAGGTCTTTTCAGATGCAGTCTCCTTGCTGGAATAAATACAGTTCCTGGTGACTGGGAGTAAGCTATTGATGTGAAAATGCATTTTTCTGTATTTTGATAAAGAAAGATTATCAGAGAAAATTTGGTTTTAATTGGTAGGGTTAGCAGTATACCTTCAGAGGTGGTATAGCCTAGTGATTCAGGGCATTAGCCCTAGAGCCGCAATTACCTGGGTTCAAATTTTGGCATCTCTACTTGCTAGCTGTGTGACCTTGGCCAAATTACTTACCCTCTCTGTGCTTCAGGTTCCTCATCTATAGAACAGTGATAACAGTACCTACCTGAAGGATTATTATGAATTGAGTTAATATTCTAAAGTGCTTAGAAGAGTACCTTACCACAGGAGGTGTTATATAAATGTTGGTTAGTTATAAGTATAACTGCCTATCTGCACCTCCAGGATGCAATCAAGTCAGTAGAGTGCTTGATTAACTCACCATCCTTCACCCTTCAAGACATCATGCTAATGCTATAGTTGATACAGATGAGACCCTCTTGGTAGAATCCGATGTAGCACATACGTATTTGCTCCCAGAACCATACTTACACAACTCCCTACAGAGTTTGTTCTCCCCTACTCTAGTCTCATTTTCCTCCTGTAACCCTGAGAGTTCTTGGAATTTCTGACTCCCAGTTCTAGACTTCCAAGCCCTTCCTTCCACTGTTGTTGTTGTTGCTGCTAAATAGTGGTGGTCCTAGGCCTAGGGGCACTTGAGGAGTCTCTCACCATCAGACCCGTGATCAGGCCTCAGGTGCAGGGATATTTCCAGGCAAAGTGTTTGGGCTTCCAGAGGAGAACTGGGATGCCCTTTCTGTTACACTGAGCTAGCTCTGTCTCTGGCTATGCTGTTATCTGGCACAATGGTTCTCAAACTTTCCCTAACCCCAATTTATAAATTTCCAAGGGGGTCTCAGCATCCAAAAGGTTCTGCTATGCTTCCTCTTTAACTATCACTTGACTAGATGCCAGTAGCCTTACAGTCAGATGCATGGCCAAGTTGGAACCATGGGCAACCTACTTACGTAGAGATGTTGTTGTCATGCGCTGTCGAGTGAGCTCCGACTCATAGCAACCCTTCCTTGGGTGTCCAAGGCCGTATCACTACGGAAGCAGATTGCCCAACCTTCCTTCCAAGGAGTGGCTAGTGGGTTTGAACCACCAGCCTTCTGGTTAGCAGTCAAATGCCTTAGGCACTATGCCACCAGAGCTCCTGGCTGTGAAAACAGAGCATGGTAATTTCTGGGATTTCTGCTCAGATAGAAGGGTATAAGACCATGGTTCCAACTTGGAAACCAAGGAGGGGTTGCCAAGAGTTGGATTTGACTTGATGGCTGTGAGTTTGGTTTTTGGTTCCCACCACCTTACCTACCAGGGCCCTCTGTTAGAGGGCGGGCAAACTCAGGTTGGGGATACATCAAATGTCCTTGCTGGACACCTGGGAAGACAAGCACCCACCAGAGTCAAAGCATGATGGCCTCTGTCTGAACCTCCAGAGTGTGGAGCCTGGGGTCACTGGTCCAATTTGTGGTGCATTAGAGAGAACACCACTAACAGCGAGGACCCTCTCATGCCATCCCATGTATCCAAGAGTATTCTAAGGGTTGAGTCCTTATAGGAGAGAGACCTGGGAGGTGCATGTGTGAGTCACACCTCAAGCCCTTGGAGAACAGTCTCACTGGATTGAGTTTAGGAAGCACATGGACACAACACAACAAACTGCTCTGGATGTGAGCTGAGGAGAAAGAACCAGACGGAGAAGGAAGATTTCTAGGTTTCTCCTATAACCCAAGAAGGTATGGACCATTCTGTGTTCCACATTGCCTAAAATTACATCCATTTCAGACTGAAGAGAACATTGACTTTTCTTTAAAAATGCTAACTGTAAAATAGGTGTAACGTAGGTCAGACCTCATCTAACTTCAGGAACAGGAGATAGAATCATGACCAGCATCAGCCCAAAGTGGATTTCCATGTGGCAGAGATCAGATATCCATTCTCCAACTTTTCCACCATTTCTGACAACAGCCGTCCTCACAACACTCTCCACTTCTCTGCTGGGTTCAATAATTCATTGCAATGGCCACACAGAACTCAGACCATACTCACAATTAAGGGATTTATTGGGGGAAATAACCAGAACAACTCAGGAGACAGCTTCCAACCTTTCGGTCCCTTCTCCACGGTGCCCACAGGTGGGAAGACAAAACTTGCTGCCGGGAGGTGCCTGCTGCCAGCTCTCTCTCAACCCTCACTCTTGCTTGGCCTTTGCCCTTGGCTTTGGTCCTCACTCTTGGCCTCCATCAAGTGTCACAAAGCTCTTTAGATCTGCCAGCAAGTGCCCAGGGGCATTCCGCTCTGCCAGCAAGCCTGCCCGAAAGGTGCTCTGCCCTCTTGCTCTGGGGCTCAGCGAGCCCACTGCGGCCGCCTCACTCGTGGGCCAGGAGGAAGTCCGCCATGCTGTCTCACAACCGTCTCCCGTTTCTGCTGCTTTTGCTCTCCCACTGGACTCTGCTGTGCTTGCCACCACTTCCTGTCATATTGTGCCATCTCCAGGGTTATATTTCTGTCTCTTGGGTCTAGGAAGTTCTCAGCACAGACTCCAGGTCCAAAGGACGTGCTCTACTCCCAGCTCTTCTTGATGGTAGAAGGTCCCCCTTAACCTCTGGGACTGGCTCCCTTTAAGCCTAGCAGGATGGCAACTGACCAATCCCCTACAGGCTTCCATATACCTGATTTGTATAATCCCACCTCTGCAAGGGTCCTGTGCACCTTATTTGCATTAGCAGACTGTCCAAGCGCCTTGGTGGGCCTAAAGCACCTTATTTGCATACCCCACCCAATCATTTCATGGGATTTACAAGACCATGGCTACTACTAGGGCCATATAAAGGCAATTCACTGCACTGCACTAATACACACACCTACTAGTATATACTAGTATATGTACTAGTACATATATATTTACCTTCTGGATTAGGCCAGGGTCTTCCTGCTTTCTCTGTTATCTCAGTTACTTCTATCTTGACTGCTGCTTAGTGCCGCAAAACAGCAGCTAAGCCAAGCAAGTGGACATCAGATTATTTCTGACTCACGGTGACCCCATGTGTGCAGAATGAAACCATGCTCCACATGGCTTTCAGGATGTGACCTTTTGGAAACAGATCACCAGGTCTTTCTTCTGAGCTCCTGGGTAGGTTCAAACAACTAACCTTTCAGTTAGTAGTAAAGTACTTAACTGTGTCACCCAGGGACAGTCAATTAACAGTCCATCAAAGCAGGCTGAAACCTAGTAAATACAAGCCCTCCAGAGACAGGGTCCTAAATGTGACTTTATGGGACCTTTTTTTTTTTTTTTTAATTAGGAAAAAAGCAATACTTTTAATTAAAAGCACTTTCAAATTTCAGAACAACTCAAATAACTATTTTCTGTTTCTGTAGCAAGGAACCAGGCTCACACAGCAGGAACAAATTGAGGTCATTTATCATAAACATCAATAATCCAGACAATCATTTGTATGTTTCAGTGATGGACTTTTATTAAAAGTATACACAAATCTCATAGTTAAATTAAAAACAAAAACAAAACACTTCCTTTTCTCCTAGTATCAAAATACTTATCTTTTTAAAATATTTTGAAAAAACTTTAATATAACTATTTTGTTATACATTAAATACTCTAAAATCTCAGTCATTCCTCTCCCATCTCTCTCCCAGAATTTTGTCTTAAAATCTCTATTACATTTTTTTTACCTCTGTTATGCTTTGTCTCAGAGAACCAATTAAAAAAAGAAAAAAAGATTTTAAGTCTAATCAACGTTAAAAAAAAAGATTTTAAAAGGAGTAGCCAATGACAGTATTTGATATAAGAAAAATAAAGATTTTTATTAATTAGGCTCAACCACAGAGTTATTCTCAATTGTTGCCTAAATCACTCTTCAGTACAGGCCTTCAGGTCCTGGAGTTATTTAAACAAAGTATCAGTGCTTGCCCTGAAATGGTAATGCTAACCCAACGGCACTCTCTAGTGGCTTTGCTATATAAAAGCATCCAACAATACAGGAAAGTATTTAAAAACAATTTATAGCCAGCCCCATTGGGTTTCCCAGGTGGTAAATAACGAAAGTAGATCGCCCCATCTTCTTTCCATCGAGTGGCTGGTGAGTTTGCACTGCTAACCTTGTGGTTGTCAATGAAATACCTTAGGCACTGTGTCTGACATTGAATATTTGGCTAGTAGATGTTCGAAGTCTAGATGTGGAGAGAAAAAAACAAAACAAAACTTTTTTTTCACAAGCCAACCTAACTTAACAGAAGCCCATTCACAACGCAGGCTACCTACTGGTGCGCCCAGACAACTGTAGCTTCTCAGTGCAAAGTTGCAAGAATGCCAGCCATTTTCATACGACACTGGAATGTGCCTTCAAAAGCTGGATTCTGGTAATGTCTTCTTCCGGCCTAAGGAAAGAGTGTGGTATTTCACCCTTTGCAAGGTGCCATAAGAAGTCTGTTCCCCTGGAACACTCCTTTGGGAAGTGCCAAGGGTGCTGCTGTCCCTCGTGGGCCTGCCAGCTTTGCGAGGGAGGCGGAAAGAGCTGGGCGCCGAGCGGACGTCTCTCTCCAGGGAGCTACCCAGGCCCCTGGCCAGGCTCTCTCTAATCCCCAGGGAAGGGGATGGGCCTCGAGTCTGCTCATCGGAACTTATGCTCAGTCTGCCATGCCCTGAGGATGCCTGGGGGAAGACGTCTGCCCCGTCAGTCTTCCTCTTATTCTCCTTCTTAAAGAACATAGATCTTAGGAGGGTGAGTGTCCCCTGTGGGAATCTGTCTGTCTCTGAGTCCTTTTTCCCCACATTAGCCCTTATTTTGGCTGCCCTATTCCGGTGATTGTCTTTAGTATTTCTGGATAAACCCACACCACTGGGTGCCTCCTTGGGGGAGGATGTACTGCCGTTGCTTCCCAGATGGCTACTCGCCTTACAATTCTTGGTCCTCTGGCCCTCGGGTTGGTTCAGTTTCTCATTCTTCCCTGAGGGTGTCACAGTGAGGGGTAGGTCAAATTTCTTAGGAAGCCTGATATGCTGACTTGTGTTTTCCTTTAGTTTCCTTGCTGAGTTTAGACCATCTGAATTTCCAGGGAGTAGACAGTGTTTGGGGTGGACCGAGGGGTGGGGCACCCCGGCCTGTGCACCTCCGCTGGCTCGCCCACTATCTTCATCGTGTGCAGGGAGGGCGGAGTTTGAGCTCTGTGAGGCTGACTTCTCCCCACCTGCGGCACCTGTCAGCAGCGGCACGATGGACCGGCTTGTGGATCGAGGTCTCCGTCTGGACTCCAAGTATTCCACCAACTCTGTGGATGTACTGGGTGGTTTCTCCCTGGGTCCAAAAGACCACCGGAGGGGCACAGTCTTGAAGGCCCCCTGTTTGGCTCGAGAAGAGGTAGGAGCCTTCATGCTGATGCTTCTGCCCGGGATACCCCGCACCAAGGGCCTGGACTCCAACCCTGCTAAAAGAGACCAAGAGCGTTAGTGCCCACAGAATACTCCAGCCACAGGAAGAGTAACTGCATTGTTGCCGTTTGTCTGATAAATATTTACTGAACACCTCTGATATACCAACCACTATTCTGGGCATAAGGAGCTCTGGTGATGTGGTGGCTAAAGCATTTGGCTACTAACCAAAAGGTCGGCAGTTCAAAACCACTAACAGCAGGAGAAGGATGAGGCAGTCTACTTCCATACAGATTTACAGCCTTGGAAACCTTGTCGGGCAGTTTCTACTCTGCCCTACAGTCACCATGAGTTGGGATCAATGCAATGGCAGTGGGTTGGGTTTGGTATTCTGGGCATTGGATCCCTGGGTGGCTGCGAAGGGCTGCTAACCTTAAGATTGCTGGTTCAAACTCACCCAGTAGCACCTTGGAAAAAAGGCCTGGTGATTTGCTTCCATAGAGATTATAGCCAAGAAAACCCTATGGAGCAGTTCTTTGTAACACTAGGGTCACTGTGAGGGGGAATGACTCAACAGCAGCAGGTTTGGGTTTTGCTTGTTTTGGCATTCTAGGTGTGAGGCACTGGCGGTGTCATGGTAGAATCCTGTGGTTTGATTCCTGGCTGGTGCACCTCACACACCACCCGTCTGTCAGTGGAGGCTTGCAAGTTGCTATGATGCTGCACTGGTTTTAGTGGAGCTTCCAGGCTAAGATGAACTAGCAAGAAAAGCTGAGCAAATTACTGCCAAAAACCAGCCAATGAAAACCCGATGGATCACAAAGATCCAATCTGCAACCAATCACAGCAATGGCGCAGACCCAAGTAGTATTTCATTCCATTGTTCACAGAGTTGTCATGAGTCAGGGGCCACCCTGACAGCAGCTAACCACGATGCTGGATATTGGGGATATAGCAGTGAGGAAGACCACATAGGTTCCTGTCCTCATGAAGTTTCGATGCTTTCATCCACTGTTCCAAGGAAGTTCATTTACATAAATTTGAAACCACTGGGCAAGCTGGAAGATACAGCCCAGGGTATCTCAGATTCCTGATGAAGTCCAGTCTCAGGGGCATCCAATGCTAAGACTGAACCTCATTTTCATCCATCTTTAAATTATTTCCATGAAACAGACTACTCAGCAAAAAGTCCCTGCCACCCCAGGTCAAATTGTGTTGTTGTTTTGTGCCATCGAGTCGGCCCCAAGTCATAGTGACCCCTCCTTGGGTTTCCGAGGCAGTATCACTATGGAAGTAGATTGCCCAACCTTCCTTCCAAGGAGCGGCTGGTGGGTTTGAACCACCAGCCTTCTGGATAGCAGTCAAGTGCCTTAGGCACTACACCACCAGTATTTATCACTTACCAGTATACATATTAAGTGATAAATAAGAGCCTAGGGGAAAAATAGCATAATTCCACTTGTAAAAATAATTATATACACATGCATATGTATATATGTGTGCATGCGTGTGTATTAGGTACGCATGTGGGAACATATAAACAAATATGAAGAAATAAATACTAAAATGAAGAGGTGTGGAGGGGGCCATAGAGGTGCAATTATGTCTATTTTCTTCTTAAAACTTCTCTATACCTCAACGTTTCTAAAGTGAACATACGTATAACCGAAGTGTGTGTTGGATTTTCAGAAACACTCAGTCACTAGTCTTTGCACCATTAAAACGCCTTAATTTATAGCATGTCCACAGTCATTGAGAAAGAAATCTTCAGTTGAAACATACAATCCACATGATAAAGGAAGAGTCAAGTGCATTTAGAGTAAGATTCTAGGTCACCACACACGCCTTTCACCCACAGCTGTCCACTCTCAATAAGCAGGTTCATCAAGGAGTATGGGAGCAACTCCAAAAATGAGCAAGGGACGCTGCCACAGGAGAAAAAAAAAAAAAAAGGTAGCTGTGGTAGTTAATTTTGTGTGTCAACTTGGCTATGCTTTGGGTCCTAGTTGTTTGGCCAAATGCTAGTCTAGTTGCTGTCACAGAGTCGTTGCGTGTGATTAGACCAGCTGGCCTTGGCACAGCAGGCCGCCTCCCGCAATGTAACGTAATGCTGTTATTATGCTGTGATTGCCATCAAGTCGGTCCCTGACTCAAAGTGACCCCACGCACAAAGGAATGCAAAGCTGCCCAGGCCTGTGCTGTCCTCATGACTGCCGATGGACTGGACCACTGTGACCTATAGGGTTTTCACTGCTGAGTTTTGGAAGGAGATTGCAGCCCTTTCTTCCTAGACTGTTTTAAGTCTGGACTAAGGTTCCGCATCACCACTCGTCTGTCAGTTTGTCATACTGTGGTGGTTTGTGTGCTGCTGTGAGGCTGGAGGCTATGCCACCGGTATTTCAAATACCAGCAGGGTCAACCGTGGTGGACAGGTTTCAGTGGACTGTCCAGACTAAGACACCCTGGGAAGAAGAAAGGGGCCACCCTCTTCTCAAAGAATTGGCCAGTGGAAACCCTATGAATAGCAGTGAAACACTGTTTGATACATTACTGGAAAAGTTTATGAATAGCCCTGAAACACTGTGTAATATAGTGCCAGAAGATGAGCCCCTCAAGTTGGAAGGCACTCAAAATACGACTGGGGAAGAGCTGCCTACTCAAAGTAGAGTCGACATTAATGACGTGGATGGAGTAAAGCTTTTGGGACCTCCATTTGCTGATGTGGCACTACTCAAAATGGGAAGAAGTACCTGCAATCATCTATTAATAATTGGGACATGGACGGTATGAAGTATGAATGTAGAAAAATTGAAAGTTGTCAAAAATGAAATGGAACACATAAAGATCAATATCCAAGGCATCAGTGAGCTGAAATGGACTGGTTCTGGCCATTTCTGAATCAATCATATGATCTACTAATGCCAGGAATGGCAAATTGAAGACGACTGGCGTCACATTCATCATCACAAACAATGTTTCAAGATCTGTCCTGAAGTTCATTGCTGTCAGTGATAGGATAATATCCATACGCCTACAAGAAAGATTAGTTAATACTAGTCTTCTTCAAATTTACACACCAACCACTAAAGCCAAAGATGAGGAAACTGAAGATCTTTACCAATTTCTGCAGTCTGAAACTGACCAAACATGCAATCAAGATGTATTGATAATTACTGGTAATTTGAATGTGAAAGTTGGAAACAAAGAAAAATCACCAGTAGTTGAAAAATATGGCCTTGGTGACAAGAAAGGACGTCAGAGATTACATGATAGAATTTTGTAAGACAAATGACTTACTCATTACAAATATCTTTTTTCAACAACATAAATAGCAGCTACACATGTGGACCTCACCAGATGGAATACACAGGAATCAGATCGACTACATCTGTGGAAAGAGGTGATGGAAAAGCTCAATATCTTCAGCTAAACAAGGCCTGCAGCTGACTGTGGAAAAGACCATCAACTGCTCGTATGCAAATTCAAGTTGAAGCTGAAGAAAATTAAAACAAGTCCATGAGAGCCAAAATGTGACCTTGACTATATCCCTCCTGAATTTAGAGACCACCTGAAGAACAGATTTGACACACCGAACACCAATAACCGAAGATCAGACAAATTGGGGATAACATCAAGAACACCATTCATGAAGAAAATAAAAGGTCATTAAAAAGACAGGAAAGGAAGAAAAGACCAAAATGGGTGTCAGAAGAGACTCTAAAATGGGTGTCAGAAGAGATTCTAAAACTTGCTCTTGAACAGAGTAGCTAAAGCAGATGGAAGAAATGACAAGATAAAAGAGCTGAACAGAAATCAAAGAGCAGCTCAAGAAGACAAAGCCAATTATTATGATGAAATGTGCAAAGACCTCGAGTTAGAAAACCAAAAAGAAAGAACACACTCAGCATTTCTCAAGCTGAAAGAACTGAAGAAAAAATTCAAGCCTTGAGTTGCAATATTGAAAGATTCTATGGGCAAAATGGGAGCTCTGGTAGCATAGTGGCTAAGCACTTGACTGCTAACCAGAAGGCTGGTGGTTCAAACCCACCAGCCACTGCTTGGAAGGAAGGTTGGGCAATCTACTTCCACAGTGATACAGCCTCGACAACCCAAGGAGGGGGTCACTATGAGTCGGGTCCGACTTGATAGCACATAACAACAACAACAACAACATGGGAAAAATATTGAATGATGCAAAACATTAAAAGAAGATAGAAGGAATACACAGAGTACTGTACCAAAAAGTATTGGTTGGTATTCAACTACTTCAGGAGGGTGGTATATGACCAAAAACCAAGAGCACTGTAGGAATTGGTGAAAAACAAGGTTCCAGGAACTGACGGAATACCCATTGAGATGTTTCAACAAACATGCCATGCTGGAGCGCTTACTTGTCTATGCCAAGTAACTTGGAAGACACCTACCTGGCCAACTGACTGGAAGAGATCCATATGTGTACCCACTTGAAAGAAAGGTGATCCCACAGAATGTGGTAATTATCAAACAATATCATTAATATCACATGCAAGTAAAATTTTGCTGAAGATAATTCAAAAATTGTTATAGCAGTGTACTAACAGAGGACTTTCAGAAAAACAAGCTGGATTTAGAGAGAATGTGGAATGAGGGACGTCATTGCTAATGTCAGACAGATCCTGGCTAAAAACAAAGAATACCAGAAAGTTGTTTACCTGTGTTTTATCGACTATGCAAAAGCATTTGACTGTATGGATCATAATAAATTATGGATAACAATGAGAATAATGGGAATTCCAGAACATTTAATTGTGCTCATGAAGAACCTGTACATAGACCAGGAGGCCATCATGTGAACAGAACAAGGGGATACTGTATGGTTTTAAATCAGGAAGGGAGTGTGTCAGGATTGTATCAATCTGTATGGTGAGCAAATAATCTGAGAAGCTGGACTATATGCAAAACAAAATGTGGCATCAGGATTAGAGGAGGACTCTGTGATACAGACAACATAACTTTGCTTGCTGAAAGTAAGGATGACTTGAAGCGCTTTCTGATGAAGATTAAAGACTGCAGTATG